ATGATAAAATATGACAGAATTCGAATATATGAATATAATTCAATTTTTGAAAAAAAAAGATACACGTTTATGTGAAGAAAGATAACAAAATACAATTTTTTAAGGATAAAAAATCAAAAATAATTATCATTAAAAACGGATTGAGATAATTAAGGTGCAAATCTATAATTAATATATTTTAAAATCCCTTAAAAGGTGCACATTTTGTTATCAGTTAATAACAGTAACTACATTCAAGGAAATTATCCAATTTTAATTATTCATTTTTTAATTTTATTTTTCGTCCTATTTAGAATAAATATTTACAATATTTTAATTTAAAGAAATGCTATAAGTTGATATATTAAATGTTATAGAATGAAAATCAAACCAAAGATCCAATAAACACGGGTATTTTAGCTTAGGCCCAAACCCATTATATATTAAGCCCAATTACCAAAATCGTTAATGAGATTTTTGTTTCTGTTTCGCCGGAAGTAAAAAAGTAATGGCCGGAAAAGAAGAAGGTCCGGCGATCGGGATCGATCTCGGAACATCGTACTCCTGCGTCGGTGTTTGGCAGGATGATCATGTAGAGATCATCGCAAATGACCAAGGCAATCGTACGACGCCGTCTTTCGTTGCTTTCACCGACACCGAGCGTCTCATTGGTGACTCCGCTATGAATCAGGCCGGCGAAAATGCTATAAACACTGTTTTCAGTAAGCTCTCACCTATCAATCTCAATTTTATGGTGAATTTGTTGAATGCATTTATATATATATATATATATATTTGCAGAATCATGACGATTTTTGTGCTGAAATTACTGCCCATGCAAGACGAGTGTGTGTATCAGTTTTGACATTAGATCATTTCATATAGAACAAAAATGAATAATCTAGTTAAATTTAGCTTCAAAGATTAATCAAATTGATTTTCGGTAAATCGCAACTTTCCACAGAGGGATTAGTTTGTATACTTAGCATGTAGTATGAGTATGAAATCAGTTTTGTCTTAGATCGTATCTTCAAGGGATTAGTTTGTAAATTGTAAACTATACTAGTTTTTCGTGTAATTTTTGAATATCTAAATGGTAAATCGAAAAATTTCATCCAAACTGTTCTCAATAAGTTAGATGTGCTAAACAAGTTTGGAATGATATATAGCAATACTGTCTGTTGTGCTTAACTTACAGTTAATTTAATAGTATAACATCAGTTTCCGTTTCAGATCGTAATTAGAGATTTTGTGTTGTCGCAGGTCTTTATTTTGCCTGGTTTTCGAATATAATAAGTTTATTAAAGCTGAATGACAGAAACATTACAAAAATATTAGTCATATGATTTATTTTGGAAAGAGATTAGTTTGTGGATAAAATAGAGCTAATTGCACCTGGCACATTGGCAGATGTGAAGCGCCTTATCGGGAGGAGGATTACTGATCCCACTGTACAGAGTGACATGAAATTGTGGCCATTTAAAGTTATTACTGGACCTGATGACAAGCCAATGATTGGTGTGAACTTTAAGGGTGAAGAGAAGAACTTTGCTCCTGAAGAAATCTCATCTATGGTGCTTATAAAGATGAAGGAAATTGCTGAGGCTTTCCTTGGATCAACTGTAAAGAATGCTGTGGTAACCGTACCTGCATACTTCAATGACTCGCATCGTCAGGCTACTAAGGATGCTGGCGTCATTGCTGGTCTAAATGTCATACGTATTATCAATGAGCCTACGGCTGCTGCCATTGCTTATGGCCTGGATAAAAAAGCTAGCAGTGTAGGTAAGAAGAATGTGCTTATCTTCGATCTTGGTGGTGGTACTTTTGATGTCTCCCTTCTCACTATTGAAGAGGGAATTTTTGAGGTCAAATCTACAACGGGAGATACTCATCTTGGAGGAGAAGATTTTGACCAGAAATTGGTCGGTCCTGGATTTCAAGAGAAAGCATAGGAAGGACTTAACGAGTAATCCTAAATCTTTAAGAAGATTGAGGACAGCTTGTGAGAGGGCGAAGAGAACTCTTTCTTCAGCCGAACAGGCAACTGTTGAAATTGATTCACTATACGAGGGAATTGACTTCAAATCCAGCATCACGCGTGCCAAATTTGAGGAGCTGAACATGGAACTCTTCAAGAAGTGTGTGGATCCAATTGAGATATGTTTGAGGGATGCTAGAGTGGACAAGGACAGTGTCCATGAAATTGTTCTTGTTGGTGGATCAACTAGAATTCCCAAGGTGCAAGAGCTGTTGCAGAACTTCTTTAATGGGAAGGAGCTTTGCAAGAGCATCAACCCCGACGAAGCTGTTGCTTACGGAGCTGCTGTGCAAGCAGCCATTCTTAGTGGAGAGGGTAATGAGAAGGTTAAAGATTTGCGCCTTTTGGATATCACCTCTTTATCTGTAGGACTCGAAACTGCCAGAGGACTTATGACCGTCCTGATTCCAAGGAACACTACCATTCCTGCAAAGAAAGAGAGGATATTCTCAAATTATTCTGATAACCAAACTAGAGAGTTAATTCAGGTTTACGAGGGAGAGAGAGCAAGGATAAAAGACAACAACTTGTTGGGTAAATTCGAGCTCTCTGGTCTACATCCTGCACCAAAGGGTATTCTTCAGATAACTGCCCGCTTTGACATTGATGCCAATGGCATCTTAAATGTTTCCGCCGAGGACAAGACGACCGGACAGAGGAAAAAAATTACAATTACGAATGACAAAGGTAGGCTGTCGAAGGAAGAGATTGAGAAGATGGTCCAGGAGGCTGAGAAGTACAAGGCAGATGATAAAGAACACAAGAAAAAGTAGAGGGCGAGTTGGCTTGAAAGCAACCAACTTGCAGAAGCTGATGAGTTTTGAGGATAAGATGGAGGTTGAAGGCATATGCAATCCATTATTGCCAAGGTGCACCTATGGCTGGTGGTAGTGGTTAAGGTCCCAAGATTGAGGAGATGGATTAAGTGATATATAGAATTTATCTTTTTCTTTCTATTAGTGTAGTTTAACATAGGTAGGTAGGTAGGTTTAGTTTTTTTTTTTTAATTTTTTCAAACTGGTAATGTTCATTCTTCATTCTTCTGCACCATCAATTTCGAGCTGCTAATGGCAAGTTACAGTAAATCAGTTGCTTTAAATATAAGTCAGTTCCACCTAATTTGTTTGCACTTGATCAAAGTTTTAATCTGTATGATTGAAATCTTACGCTTATACTTCACATGCTTATATTAATCTACGAGTGAAACAAGTTGTCTAATATGTTCTAACGAAGCATTGAAGAGCAATAAGTAAAGACCACAATAATTTTTCGCGGAGAACTCCAAAAGATGTAAAAAATTACGACCTATACCAATATAATTCAGAATACAACTTTTGCAATCTTATGAACTAACTCTAATTCCTAAACTTTAAGTTATGAGTTAAATTAAAACTCTTCCAGTCCTAGAAACTAACTATAATTCTTGAACTTCTACACAAAATCTATCGAGATATGTGTTCCCAAGCCTTCAAGTTATTCCAACTTAAAGATAACACCCCTAATTTAGTTTAGAACTCACTAAACAAGGATTACATCAACATTACCACTCAAAGAAAAACTCCTAATACATAAACTATATAATAGGACTTGGTTCTTCAATGTATTCCTTCAATCTTTTGGTAGCCCTTGCAAAGTTAATTTTTCAATTGCCTTTTTTTCTCTGCAAGTGGACAAGTATTCTGAATGACTTCACTTCTATTTAAGAACAACTTTTAGAGAGTTGTTCTTCAATTCACACTTCATATTCGCTCGAACTTTCTTGACTTAAAGTTCTACTTCAAATCAAACTTCTTGCCGCTTTAGAATCCCTCTTTAAATCAAAGTCATTGATTTTTTTGTGTCGTATATTTTCAACTCTTCAATTCAACACATGATTGTTTCCTTGAGTTTTTCACGAAACTATCATCCATTTCTTTGAATATAAATATAGATATTTTAAATCAAATTATGATTTTAATTTGTTATATTTATATTCTTAATATTGAATTATTTTTCTATTTGAATTATATATTTATCATGTTTACAAACAAAAAATTATACACATTCGTCTATTGAAAAACAAAACAATCTTAATTATTTTGTGTTAAAATCTAGAATAACATCTTAATCATATATATGTACATTCAAATTCAAATATCTTGGTCTTAATGTCAAGACCGTGGGGTCTGTCGTGGTGACACCCACACTAATCCATCAATGGGAGAACGAATTACTAACCCAACTCAAAACTACCTTCAAACATATTATACTAAACAACTCACTACATAAACACTAGGAAAAATAGTCCAACACAAATAAAAGATTGAATTCCCATAAATTCAACTAAATCATCATAACAATTGTGAAATTTAACCCTTAGAATCCGAAAGTCATCATATTAAAACTACAATTAATAGTCGAAACTAGAATGCAATCTCGGAACTAAAACATAAACAAAACAATCTAAAATGTCTTTGTCTGAAAAGATGGAAAAGAAGATTTGAAGGAACTAATGACTTCCCGAAAGAGTAGTTCACCTTTAAATTCGAAGTCAAGCGTCTCTTAGCTGAGGTCGTATCAACCATTGGAAGATGACATGTACTACACAAGAAAAAACAAAAGTGTAGTTTCAATACACAATCACAATTTATTGGTAGGATCACACGATCAAGTGTAAATCATGAATGTAAACAGATAAGCACATCACAATAAACACTTGCCAACACATCTAAATACATAAGCTCCTAATCACAATATCCTGAATCAACCAATACTTGAAACACATCCCACATGAATTACAAAACCTGCTTCACTCATGGAATCATAACTATACATACTCGATCCGCTCACAGAATCCACACACAAATTGTTAGTGTATCAGCGCGGCATCTGAGCTAATCAGGGATAGTATTTATATCAAGCGTGATATCCAAGCTGACGGCTAGTATTTCTATACCAGTGTGGTACCTAAGCCAATCAACCATCACATACGACATGTACAATCATAATTACAATCACAATGAAGAATAACACTTGAAACCACAAGTTAAATTAAAAGGTCCATTGCATGAGATAATTTACAAGATATCATTTCATATGTTTCCCTGTGTTTTCCCCAACATGCATTGTATTAGTGGTACTATGAAGTAGTAAACATGTATACAAACATACATACAACCATCACCTACCCAGAGGCGGACCCGCATGGTGTCCGCCGGGTGCTTGAGCACCCATTAACTTCGTTACGGAATATATATATCTATGTAGAAATTGATAGGTATTTGTATAAAATTAACATAGAGCACCCAATGAACAAATGATTTAGTTGGCCCAATGGCTCCTGGATGGGTACTTAAGACTTTTTTAGTGTTGTTGTACCAAGGTTCAAATCTCAATGTTAACACATATTTTTTATATTTTCACTTTAGAGCACCCACAACCTTAAACTCCTAGATCCGCCACTGCACCTACTTCGAATCAAGCCTGAATGGTCTTAAGAATCCAAACTTTTCTTTATTGAAGTGCATTGACTTGTTCTTGGTCTAATCAAAACTGGTTTAATTATACCTGGATCATAATCAAATCCCAACTCTAGGCCAAAATCTCGTTCTATCCAATTCAGGACTTTTCTCACTATTAAATCAAGTCAAAATCCTGAAAAGTAATATCCTAGATTATGAAGTTTAAGAATCTATTTACAAGATACGGAAGTAATGATTTAACTTTACCAATGATTTTGGTGAAAATTTTGATAGGACATGCTCTAATTCGCCTCTGTCAAAACCATATACAGGACTTTCCAATCATAAAAGACTTTAACCCAATTCGATGTTCGATACTACTACCAAAATAATTAATATAACTATGTGCACAATTTGCTCATTACAAAGAATGAATTTTTTTACATTATTTGAAATACTTTTCAAAACATGAGACATGTTTACCTTCTTAAAAACATGCACTGATGAACTTATCTTTCAAGTCGAATAATTCACATAGGTACATATGTATATGTATATATATAAATAAAATAACATTAGAAGCTGTTAAGTACTTATGAAATAGAACTTTTAAACTTTTTCTCGAAACTCATCTTTACTTCCTCAAAAACCTAGTATAAAACGTAAGAGTTGACTTTGAAAAAATTCTCAAGATTTATATCTCAAAATAGGGTTCATGTTGGATAATAGACATGAACAAATAACCTAACCAATCTCAATAAAAATATAGAAACTCCATACTTGAGAATAGAATTTCAAAAGAATCAAGAATTCAAAAACTCAAAATCAACTTATCTTAATAATACTCAAATATAGGGAAAGAATCCTTGCTTACTCTTTTAGTGCCACGAAAATAGATGTAGGGTGTGATGACGAACTAGTCCAACACTATAATAGCCATATTACATACATGAAAGAACAAGGTTCTTGAAGAATCTTAAATAATAGTGAAGAACTTTATTAAAAGCCTTGAAACCCTAACTTGAAGTAGAAAAATTAAGAAAACCATTCTTGAGATATCTTGAACTAGGGTTCTAAACCATCTATTTTACAACAATGAGTTTAAGAGCTTCGGTTTATCCAAATGGAGTGATCAACTAAATCATCTTGCTTATGCAAATGATACCATCATATTCACATTTGCTGACAAAAAAATCTATGCAATTTATCATGAAAACTCTTCCGTTGTATGAAGCTCAATCAGACCAATTTATTAATAAAGGAAAGAGTTTATTTTCAAGTTCAGCAAAACTGCACGTCATCGTTAAGAAAGTGAAGGATATTACTAGATTTATGAGAGAAATCTTTCCATTGACTTATCCTGATTGTCCCGTTGGACATTCTAATAAGAAAAAGGTCCATTACTCAGAACTAATCAAGAAGATTTGAAGCAAAATGTAGGTGTGGAAAGGTAGGTTTTTATCTTTTGGAGGAAAAGAAGTGTTGATTAATCAATGTATTGCAAAGCATTCCTACATAGTTGCTATATGCTATTTTCCCACTGAAATTTGTTATAAAAGATATACATAATATTTTTGCAAAATTCCTATGGAATTCCAAGAAAGAAGGGTGGGCTAAACACTAGATTACTTGGAACGATATATATTTACCAAAGGATGAAAAGGAACTTGGTTTTAGATCTCTATATGATGTTTCAAAGGCGCTATTTGCTGATTATGGTGAAATTTTTGAACAATCAATACATTATGGTCTAACTTCATATGAAACAAGCACTGCAAAAGACATGACTTTGTTGACTAATTTACTCAATCTCCAAGGGATCCTCAAACAGATTGGACAGTAAATGAAGATATTGTGTTTCACAAACTAAAATATGTACGAATTTAACAAGTACATCTGCAAGGAGAAGATTCCCCATTGTGATGTATGATAATAAAGCATACCACATTTTTTCTACAAGTTTGTAATATCTTGATAAAAAAATTGTGTGATGCCATTCAATGGATAAAATCAACATGAAAACGGACTAATAATATAACATATATTATTAAAATTACTAGCGAAAATTACATGATGAACAGAACACTTAGTACCGACTTCGATCGAATCTTAACTATTGAACATTTCATAATGAACACAACACTTAAGATAACTTAAATGAACCATGACATTTAATATAATATTTAAGTGTTGTGTCCATCATGTAATGTTCATCACTTATAATTCATTCGAAGTCAGTACAAAGTGTTTTGTTCATCATGCAATGTTCACCAATAATTTTAATTATATATGCTATGTTATTAATCCATTGTCATGTCAATTTTATCCTTTGAATTACATATCATATTATATTCTTCATCAATATATTAGAAACTTGTAAAAAAAAGTGTTTTACATGTATTTTCATATATCACGTTGGGATATCTCCTTCTTGAAGACGACTTGTACAATTCGTAGATATTTTGATTTTTGAGTCACAACATCTTCATTTAGTGACCAAACTGTTCGAGGAACCCTTGGAGATTAAGTAAATTTGCTAGTAAAGTTATGACTTCCCAAGGTAGTTAGAATTCCTTGAGATTAGGAAGGAAAATGTCCCTAGAGAAAATCATGATTGTTTTGCTTCTACATGTAGAAGAACTCTTTTAGATTTAGAATTCTTTTTATGATTTTAGCATCAAGAGAATTAGATATATATATTGTGGCAATTTAATTAGTTTGAGTAATTTTGTTAACAAAATCATTTCCAGACTTATACATGATAGGTTGGAAGGGAAACTGCCAAAGCTGATATATTCTAACCAATCATGATTTTTTAAAGGAAGAAATATCACTAAAAAAAGTGTTGTTGATACAAGAAATAATCTCATAGATAAAAAAAGATGGAAGCCTGCTAATGTGGTCATCAAGTTAGACATAGCTAAAACTTATGATAGTGTGGACTGAAAGTTTCTAATTAGTGTATTGGAGATAATGAGTTTTGATAATATGATGTTGGATATAATTTGGAGGTTGGTATCAAATAATTGGTACTTTGTACTTGTTAATGGGGAATCTAATGACTTCTTTCACTCAATCAGAGGGGTAAAACAAGGAGATTCTTTATCTTTAGCACATTTTATAGTATCATCTGAAGTATTATCTAGGGATCTAATACATTTATTTTACAACATTGAGTTTAAGAGCTTCAGTGTACCCAAATGGAGTGATCAACTAAATCATCTTGCTTGAGCAGCTGATACCATCATATTCACATCTGCTGACAAAAAAAATACAATTAATCCTGAAAACTCTTCCGTTGTTTGAAGCTTAATCAGACCAACTTATTAATAAATGAAATAGTCTATTTTACACGTTCAACAAAACTGTATGAGTCATAGTTCTAGAAGTGAAGGATACAAGTGAATTTATGAAAGGAAACTTTCCATTGACTTATCTTGGTATTCCTATTGGACATGTTAATTAGAAAAAGGTCCATTACTTAGAACCAATCAAGAAGATCCAAAGAAAATTGTAGGTGTGGAAGGCGAGGTTGTTATCTTTTGGAGGAAAAGAAGTGTTGATTAATAATGTATTGCAAGACATTCCTACATACTTGCTATCTGCTATTTTTCCACAAAAATGTGTTATATAACATATACATAATATTTTTGCAAAATTCCTATGTAATTCCAAGGAAGAAGAAAGCGCTAAACACTGGATTGCTTGGAACGATATATATTTACCAAAGGATGAGGGGACTTGGTTTTAGATCTCTATATGATTTTTCAAAGGTGCTCTTTGCTGAATTATGGTGAAATTTTAGAACTACCAACACATTATGGTCTAACTTCATGTGGAACAAGTACTTCAAACGACATGACTTTGCTGGCTAATTTACCCAATCTCGTAGGGATCCCTCAAACAAATTGGACACTAAATGAAGATGTTGTGTTTCACAAATTAAAATATCTACGAGTTGTACAAGTACATCTGCAAGGGGAAGATTTCCCAACGTGATATATGATAAGCATAACACATTTTTTTTCTACAATTTTGTTGTATCTTGATTAAAAAGATTATGCTATGCGATTCAATGGATAAATCAACATGACAACGAACTTATAACATAACATATATAATTTTAATTACTAGTGAGCATTACATCATGAATAGAACATTTAGTACTACTGACTTCGACTGAATCTTAACTAATGAACATTTCATGATGAAGACAACATTTAGGATAACTCAAATGAACCATGATATAATATTTAAATGTTGTGTTCATCATGTAATGTTTATCAATTATGATTCAGTCGAAGTTAGTACTAAGTGTTTTGTTCATTATGTAATGTTCACCAATAATTTTAATTGTATATGTTATGTTATTAGTCCATTGTCTTATTGATTTTATCCTTTGAATTACATAACATAATATCTTCTTCATCAAGATATTAGAAACTTATAGAAATACATGATTTTCATGTATTATCATATAACATGACGAGAAATCTCTTTCTTAGAGACGTGTTCGTACAATTCGTAGATATTTTAATTTGTTAAGCACAAAATCTTCATTTAGTGTCGAATTTGTTTGAGGGAACCCTTGGAGATTGAGTAAATTAGCCAGAAAAGTCATGACTTCCCATGATAATAAGAATTTGTTGAGATTAGGAAGGAAAATGCCCCTAAAAATATCACGATTGTTTTGCTTCTACATGTTAAAGATCTCTTTTAGATTTAGACTTCTTCTTATGATTTTTGCAGCAAGAGGATTAGATATATATAGTGCTACCCAATTAGTTTGAGAAATTTTCTTAATGAAATCATTTCCAGACTTATACATGATAGGTTGGAAGGGATACTGTCAAAACTGATATCTCCTAACCAATCAAAATTTGTTAAAGGGAGAACTATCACTGAAAACATGTTGTTGGTACAAGAAATAATCTCATAGATAAAAAAAGATGGAAGCCTGATAATGTGGTCATCAAGTTAGACATACCTAAAGCTTACGATAGTGTGGACTGAAAGTTTCTAATTAGTGTATTGGAGATAATGAGTTTTGATAATAGGATGTTGGATATAATTTGGAGGTCGGTTGCAAGTAATTGGTACTTTGTACTTGTTAATGGGAGTCTAATGGCTTCTTTCACTCCATGAGAGAGGTTAAACAAAGAGATTCTTTATCTTTAGCACATTTTATATTATCAACTGAAGTATTAACTAGGGCTCTCAACCATCTATTTTACAACAATGAGTTTAAGAGCTTTGGTTTATCCAAGTATACTGATCAGCTAAATCATCTTGCTTATGCAGATGATACCACCATATTCACATTTGCTAACAAAAAAATCTATGTTATTAATAATGAAACCTCTTCCGTTGTATGAAGCTCAAACAAACCAACTTATAATAAAGGAAAGAGACTACTTTACATGTTCAACAAAACTGCACAAATCAGAGTTTAAGAAGTGAAGGATATTACTGGATTTATGAGAAGAAGTTTTCCATTGACTTATCTTGGTTGTCCCATTGGACATGCTGATAAGTAGATGGTCCATTACTCAGAACTAATCTATAAGATCCAAAGCAAATTGCAGGTGTGGAAGGGGAAGTTGTTATCTTTTGGAGGAAAAGCAGTATTGATTAATCATGTATTGCAAAGCATTCCTACATAATTTCTCTGTGTTATATTTCTACCAAAAGTTGTTATACAAGATATAAATAATATTTTTGCAAAATTCCTATGGAATTCCAAGAGAGAAGGGAGCGCTAGTGAGGAAACAAAGAAAAATTCCACATATATGGATTAAGAAGATGCAAAACAAGGGTTTCAGCACATAACTAAGGAATTAAGAATTACAATGAGAAGTCAATGGAAAATGAACATCAGATGCAAATAAAAGAGATATAGTAACATCGAAGTCAGTTTCACATATCGATTGTTGGTAACAAATTGGGATTACTTGAGTCGAAAATACCTCTTGGAGATGGACCTCTTCACAGTGGTATCAGTTCTTTGGAGCTCATTCTGCGTAGAAGAAAAGATTCAAGAGGAATTATCAACAAGGCTGATTCTTAACGAAGATTGTCGGGTTGAGGCTACAAGCTCCTAGATCTGTTGTTGGAACCCTTTTTGAGTTGAAGAAGTCTTCCAGGAGATCGATTCCATAACACTCGTGAGATATTAAGCGTATATATGGAATTCACTCAAGCTCAACAATAATTCAAAGAATTTGGGGCCATTTTGGAGGAACATAGATAAATAAGCATTCTAAATGGAGAAATGCTCTTGGACAACGGCGTTTGATAACTTTCCCCTTTTAGCTTTTATTTTTTTCTTATTAGTAGATAAACCTAGGTCACTTTTGGGCCTGGGTTATTCCTGTACTATTTCATTTTAAGGAATAAATGGGTCATGCCCAATGTTAAATTAACTAAAAAATAATAAAAACGCATACGGTATATTCACATTGCATTTCATCATTATGACAATTATAAATAGCATGCCATAAAATTACCTCATATTGATAGCTTCTTCTTCCTCTTTTTTCTTTTGCGCAACCCTAATCTCATGTTTAATCGTTTTTTCCTTACTAGCAATGAGAACTATTAGAATTATCAAAATGGGTTAGCCCACCCCATCCAGACTAATCTATACAGACTTTGACATTTTACAGGTCAGGCTGGGCTAACCTCTTTTTTGTGTGAGCCAAAAAATGGTTGGCCCAACCAATAAGTATGTGGGCTACATGCTTGCCGGGCCAACTCACTTTTTTTAAAATTATATTTTTTTTATAATTATTAACTTAAGTTATAAATTACAATTTAAAAATATGATCATAAATATCGACAAAACAATATTACATGACGTTAATGTTACTATTTGTTAATGGAATCCAAAAATAGGTAAATCAATTTTCCCCGAGTTCTTTCTTGGATGTGAGACACATGACATAGATAAAAATTAACCGTTAAGATTTAATTGAAAAAAATAAAGGTTTTAATTATAATTTAGATAATTAATATTTCATAAAAAAATCACAATCATAAAAATATATTATCTTGTCATAAATATATTATTAAAAAGAATATTTTTTAGTAGTAATATTATCTTCTGTTTTTATCCATAAATACATCATCAAAATCATTTCTCGTTTTCTATTTTTTTTCCTGCTATCTATGACTGACTCTATTTTTTTTAAAAAAAAATACAAACTAAAGATAAATACTCGCTGGATTTTTTTTTTTTGAAAAGTGAAAAGTTTTTATAATATATTTATAGATAAGATATTATATTGTTATGTGTTATGATATGGTATTATTATTTTTCTTATGAAACATTCATTATCTAAATCATAATTATTTACTTATTTTAATTAATTAAATTTTAGACATTAATTTTTATCTATGTCATGTATCTCACATCTAAGCAAGAACTTAAAAAAATAGAGAGAAGGAAAATGGAGAGGATTCGGATTCAGGGGCGGAGCCACGTATCGTCCAGACCCCCTCAATAAAAAATTACAATATATATATAAGATATATTTTCTGGATTTATGTAGATATATATATATATTTTGAACACTTTAAATAATAGGTGAAAGTGATATCTTAATGTCATTTTCCTTCAAAATTAAATGTGAAGTTGAGGGTTCAAATCCCTGGTAGGTAGCCTTTTAATTTTTTACTTTCTTAGTTTCAGTTTTCCTTTTTTTTTCCTAGTCAAGGTTTTCACGTTTTTTTCTTTCAAATTTTTTAATAAAACATGCTAAAAAGTGGTGTTAGAATTCATGGGTCCGCCACTAAAACTATATAGTACTACTTTCTTGAATTTTTGTTTTATGGACTTATTTACACGTTTATACTTTTATACTGGTCGGATTCCTACTTGTTAATGAAATTCACAAATAAAATTATTTTTATAATATTTACTAAGTTCTTTTCTCAAGTAAAAGTATAAATATATAAATAGAAATATTAACCTAATTGTTTTGAGTTTGGACTCTCGTTAATTTTAAATTTTAATACTATATTATGTTTTTGGGATAATGCACAACTACCTTTTCAACCTATGCCCGAAATCTCAGAGACACACGTATACTATAGTAAGGTTCTATTACCTCCCTGAACTTATTTTATAAATAATTGTCTACCCCTTTTCAACCTACGTGACACTATCTTGTGGGCCCAACGTGTGTTGACATATTTTTTTTTCAAACTAGTGTCATGTAGGTCGAAAAGGGGTAGAAAATTATTAATAAAATAAGTTTATAGGGGCAATAGGACCTTAGTATAGTATTAGTGTGTCTTTGAGATTTCAGGCATAGGTTGAGGGGGGTACTTATGTATTTTCCCTATATTTTTTGATAATTTTAATTGGCCAACGGGCCGGCCCTACCGATATTTCTCAAGCCTCACAAATCAGCGGACTTATTCAGGTCGGAATAAAAAATCCTTTTCTTAAATGAGCTCAAAAAAGCTTAGCCCAATTTTATCAAACTCCGGATTATAACAGACCGGCCCAACGGGCATAGCCCATATTGACGACTCTAAGAACTATAAATATACACTAGATAATTGAAGGCCATTTCACGGGTCCAACATAATCAATTATCTTTTCAATTTCAGTTTAAAAGAATTATCTAAATTTATATCTAATTTTATTATAGTTTATAAAATTTCCTATCATTTAAAAAAATTACAAAAATTCTCTCTCAGCTACCTTCCTATCTTATGTATACATTACTATTTCCTCTCAGATACATCTCTATCCTCTCTCGAATACATCTTTATCCCCTCTTGAATACATCTCTATCCTCTCTTGGATACATCTCTATCCTCTATTGGATACACCTCTCATTTCAGATACACCTATATTCCATCTCGAATACATTTCTCCCCTCTCAGATTCATCCGTGAGATATGTGTCTGCAAGTTTTCTGAGTAGTATCACGACTGATGTTTATGCATTTCTGCTGATGAATTTATGAAATTTTTTTAATTTAAAAAAGGAAGTACGGATATAACACCAAGAAAATTTATGTGACATAAGAAAATTATGTGACATATTTTTCTTTGTAGTCAATTTCAAAAGAACGATGTATAAATATATTTAATAACATTTTGACATGAAAAATATTCATTTTATTCATAGTAAGATGATTTATAACCATATGAACATCTATGATTTCTTTTAAACCACGAGTTCTAAAAGTGTTTTTTTTTAAAAAAAATAGGGATAATGCACAAGTACCCCCTCAACCTATGCCTGAAATCCCAGAGACACACTTATACTATACTAAGGTCCTATTACCCCCCTGAACTTATTTTATAAGTAATTTTCTACCCTTTTTTAGCCTACGTGGCACTGGTTTGGAAAAAAAGTCAACCATCGTTGGGCCCACAAGATAGTGCCACGTAGGCCGAAAAGGGGTAAAAAATTATTAATAAAATAAATTCAGGGGGGTAATAGGACCTTAGTATAGTATAAGTGTGTCTCTGAAATTTCGGGCATAGGTTGAGGGGGTACTTGGGCATTATCGCAAAAAAATACTTCATGTTAAGTCAAATAAACATTACATAAATCAAAATGGAGTGAGTAAAAACTTTAGATCAATTTTATATTTATGAAATTTATGTTTTTGTAACTATTTTGCCTTTTAACAAAATTTAAAATGAAAATACTAAGGTTTTTTCACAATCCTTTTTATAGTAATTTTTTTTATCAATATTTTGTCAATAATATCAAAATTTTAATAAAAATAAGGTAATAAAGTAACTTAATTTTGAAATTCAAGTATTGATATCAATTGAGAAAATATTTATTTTTAAGTTGTAAAGCATTCATAATCTAATATTCAATAAGCTCCTTACTCTTGATGAATGACACTAATTTATCATAATTCAAGATTGTAAGAAGTAGAAATCAAAATTAAAAAGTGTAACTCACTATTATATGAAAGTCATTATGAGTTAATTGTCACTCGTTAGAGATATGTCATATGTTAATTGTCATAATGAAACAATATGAAAGTTATAAGAGATAATTTATTTACAATTGAAAATTACTTATGAAAAATGAAGAACAAATTATATATTTAAATATGTTTATGTCATATACATATTAGTGTAAAGAAATTTTACACTATAAATTTATTTACTTATTTTAATATGTAATTTATTTTATTATGAAAATTTACAAATGTGATGTTTTATGAAAAATTGGTATGAAGATTTTTATATGTCCTCATAGTAAGTAGTTCTTTACTTTATAATATAGAGGAATATTACTTCAAATAAGTATCAAGTCAATTAACCATATTAGTTGTAATATATTGATATAATTTTTTTTAGAAAAATATCACTTAAAATCAATTTTCTAGGTCTTACAAATCATTAATTTAGATTACCTTTAGACCTATAAAAATCATTAGTATGTTGTAAAAACAAAAATTTATCCTACATTTGCTTAATAGATATTTTGGTTTAAAATTTTATACTAAATAGAAAATAAATCTATAAGAAGTGTAATATCTCATTAAAATAGATTAATTATTAGTCTATATTCAAAAAATTAAGAAAAAAGTGTGATTGTAAATGTGGATCCATATTAAATATCACATCATTAGGATAAACATGACATTTAGGAAAATATATTTGGTTGTTTGGTCATTACCTATCTATTTCTTGATGTCATAATATAGATACAGAAATAATAGAATCTTTATGAATTGACAAATTTATCCTTGGTCGTCTTCAACTTGACTCTTCTATATAATAGAAATGTTCTTTGACACAACAAAGTAAGTGAATATCATAAATAATTTAGATATTTAAATTAGACAAGCCTAATATCACATAAGAATTACATATACAGAAATTTAGTCAAGTTGATGATAATTTAGATATAAATTCTCTCACACATTATTACACACAATCATTTTGAGATTACATTAAATTTCACCCTTATATAAGATTACTTCAAATTCATCAATCAAAATAAAAAAAAAATGAGCAAAAACAAGACAATGTTCACATTTTCTTCTTCTTCTTCTCCATTCGGCTCAACATTCGTCTTATGTCTAATTGTTGCTTCCTTAATAACACCAATTAGAAGTAACTATTTGTCTGACGTGTGCATCAAATCAAAAAATCCAAGATTTTGCTTACAAGTCTTTGGCCTAAATCCTCATAGGAGTCCTTATGAGTTGACACAAGAGGCTCTCAACTTAGCATTGACAAATGCTTATGAGACAAAAAATAAGATTCACATCTTTTTAGATCAGACAAAACATCATGACTTAAGAGTGATATATAAACAATGTTTGCACTATTACCAATC